TTAACAAAAATGAAACTGTACATTTAATATGACACATAAGTATATAACTACATTAAAGAAATTGTCATGGGCCATCTAGTGGGTTCCAACTCAGAGAAATCCTATATAGGGTTTCTAAGAGGCAGGTGACTTTGAACTGCCGACCTTGCAGTTAGCAGTCCAGTGTTTATCCTACAATGCCACATCAGGGCTCAGAGTTGGTTGGCAAAATATATTTAACATATAATTATTTTCAGAAATGCTTTGTTTTTGTTTTGTTTTTAAATTTAAAAAAAAATTTTTTTAATTTAACAGTAATGATTCTGCCAACCAAGTCATTGATTTTAAACAAATACAAAATATTTTTACCTCCGTGGTTTTCCCATAAGTCGCCTGATTTTTCCCCATTCTACTCTTGTTAACTTTCTTGTCTTCAAATTAGGAAAAGATTCCTTTAGACATACACAGAAGTCATTATCGCCTTCAAAGAGTGGTCTGCAAAGCAGAAGTAACATTTTAATGGTTAGTATGCAATGTGTTTTCTTAAAAGACATGAAATCCAAAGCACATATTTTGATTTTCACTGCCACGTCATCACAGAATACCAACTATTACACATATGTAATATATAATACAAAACAGGCACAATTCAAAGAGCCATAGCTAAACTAAATTCTTGGCATTTGTGAAACAAACAATCTGTAAAAGTTATTCAGGGGATTTTGTTGGCAGCTGATATTCCAGGGACACTGGTTTGCTAAATTTCCTATATGACTGCCCTTTGGGAGACTATTCTGGCACTGACATACCTGGAGACAATAAATGTTAGCTATAGAGTAACTTTCCCTGAGGCAACACCACCACCAAGGAGTCCTCTTTGGGATTAAATCAGTTTTAGAAATCCAGAGGACTGTAGAGAGTTAGGTTTATTCTTACAACTACACTAGGACACTAAAAGCTTTAAGCTTAAAACCTGTGGGCAAAATAAAACAATTATATTCATGAGTTTGAGAAAACAAGAAATAGCCTTAGTAGTGATACATGAAAACACTAGGCTCAAATACGAACTTCCTTGAGATACACAACTTCTAAAGTAGTCAACTGGTTTGGAAAACAAAGAATCAAAGACAAATAACCAGTGAAGTATAAACAACAATGATTGGCATATGAGCATGGATTAAAAATCTTGCAGAAATTTTCCTAAATAAATCTTGTGGCTGAATTATTAAATTTCAAATGTCTTATTACTGTTCTAGTTAAACATTCATGTGCAACTAAGGTGCTTAAGTACTAACCTTAAAATAGAAAAACTATCCTAAAAAACAAACTAATTTTTACCATTAATGTGCCAATTATTGGTGGGATGGGAGTTTAAACCTCAGTTAATGCACTGCCATTTGGCGTAGTTTCCCTTGTTTATACTTTTCTAACTTATGTATTCATCCATGTTTTTGGAGAGCAGTAGAAGACTTTTAAATATGAAGTTGTTTTAAATGCTTTTCTAATAATAATGCCTGTTCTGATTCTTAGTTGTTCTGTTCTTGAATTCTTGTACCTCCTCTCATCTCCCTAAAATCTTTGCCTAATCAGTGGTATGACCTTGTAATATCTATGGAAAAAAAAACTTTAAAGATGATATATGTGAAAAAATAATGCACAAGTGAAAAATATGGTAAATAAACATATTTGGGAAAAAAATAAATAAAAACAATCTTTCTATTCTTATACTAACATTATAATTTCAAGATTTATAAAACAAGTCTCATGTACTTCAAATAAAGGGGCTTGTTTTAGGATATCTCTACTTCATGATCTTTGTAACTTATAATTCAAAGACACTTTCTTTTAATTTTTCACAACACTAGAAACAGAAAAAGAAATTCATGAAAAAATAAAATCAAAGACTTTTAGAAAAGATTTAGTTAATAACATTTGAAAAAAACAACTTTCTGGCTCAAGGAATATTCACGATACATACTTATCTATATTTGAGTAGAACCATTCATATATGCACCATTTATGTGCTTTGGGAAGCTTGAGTAGGTTACGCAATCGAAAACCAATCTTCTGTGATACTTTCTTATCTGGTGTTGACATTGTTGCTGTAAATTTCTACAGAATAAAAAGAATAATTAAACCTTCAGTAAGTGAAAATAAACATTTATAATAATGAATATATTTGTAAAAGGGTAAATTATGGTTGAGTAACTCAATAATATTCAACATAAATTGTTTTGTTAATATTCAACAAGTAATTTTTCTCCAGACAAGATTCACTAAAAAAACAAACAAAAAAACCACACACAATATACCAACACTTAATTGAATCAGATAAAAATGCCTATATTAGAAAAAAATAAACTTATCAAATAATCTACATTTCCACCTTCAGAAATAAAAAAAAGAGCAAAGTAAAGCCAAAGCAAGTACAAGTAAAATAATTAGATTGCTGTGCAAATAAATGAAATAGAAAATGTGTTGTTGTTAGGTGTCAAGTCGGTTCTGACCCATAACGACCCTCTATAGGGTTTCCAAGGAGTGACTGGTGATGCCGACCTTCTTGTTCAAACGATTTTGTAGTCTGGCACATTAACCCACAGTGCCACAATAGAGGGAGGGAAAAATGGCTATTGGAAAAATTCAATATCAACAAAACTTTAGCTAGAATGACCAAGAACATAAAAATGGATGTTTTCAACCTGATAAATGACTTCACACTCCAATTCTCTCTATCCCAACCCAAAAATCAGTTGTTGTTGTTGTTGTTGTTGTTGTTAGGTGCATCAGCCTGGAACAGCTAGAACAACAGACGATACATCTTCAAAGAAAGATCATCAGGAAAAATCTAAAACAAAAATGGCAGTATGACTGGCTACTGCAAGAATAAACAAGTTGTTTGCCACGAAGCCATTAAGGCAAGCAACCAAGCCCCTTCATGACAAACCCCCCCCTTAGACAGAAACTCACAGGGAACACATGAGCCGGCATGTAAGCTTGCTGGTGACCACACTGGTCTACTGGTGAGTGGAAGAGGAGGAAAGGCAGCAATGAATGTCTGGCGCATAAATAACCAAACTATTATATAATATTCCTTTAGGAAAGTATCCTGTTTCTTTCTATTACGTTATTGACTTGTTGTTTTTTTTTAATAGGGTACTCATTGGATATAAAATGGAATTAAAGTGGTATTAAAGATTGTTGTTGTTGCTAAGTGCCAACTCACAGCAATCCTGCAGAGGGTTTCTCAGGAGCGGCTGGTGAGTTTGAACCACTGACCTGCGATTCAAACCGACCCTGTGGTCTAGAGCATTATCCCACAGAACCACACCAGGACTCCATTAAAGATTGGAGAAATATATTTAAACTATTAGTTGTTGTTGTTATGTGCCGTTGAGTCGGTTCCGACCCTGTACAGGGTTTCTGAGGCTGTAAATCTTTATGGGAGCAGAACGCCTCATTGTTCTCCTGCGGAGCGGCTGGTAGTTTCGAACTGCTGGCCTTAAGGTTCGCAGCCTGATTCGTAACCACTACGCTACCAGAGCTTAGTAGGAATATAAATTATTTCAACATTTATGGATAATCTGGTTGTGTCTTCCAAATCTTAACGTAAATATTCTTGTAGCAACTGTACTTCAATAAATAGAACAACATAAGTACAAGATATAAAGTACAAGGATATTTATTGCAGCACTGTTCACAAAAGCTGAAAATAAGTAGAAAGTCCAACTTGGAAATCTGATTAAACATACCAGTACAATGGAATACAAGGGTAACTAGTATTTTTTTTAAAATAGAATGTGGAAAACCCCATTTAAGAATGAAATGCAAAGGGAACATACAAGCAGGCATGCAAGCTTGCTGGTGGCCACATTGGTCTACTGGTGAGTGGAAGATGGGAAAAGGCAGCAATGAAGAAATGGGTCACGTTCAACCATGTTCCATAGACTCCCACTGACCTGGAGATGAGAGAGAGAAGGGGAAGGGAGGGCTGGTTGATCCAAAGTATGCTGACACCTGGGGATACCTGAGCCCATGGACAAGGACATAGCCACAGAAAGCTAGAGCTGAGAGTGAAGCATCCAGATGACATGAAGTGAGGGTAGAAGCACAAGAACACTCAAACTTGCAGATAGTACCCATTTGACCTAGCCTAGATGGCTTGATAATCAGAACTCAACTAGAGGAAGATAAAAAAGAAAACAATTTTTGATATAAGAAACAAGGGCAAATTGTGACAATTTGATGAACTTGACCTATACTCACGGAGGTTGTTGTTATGTGCCATGGAGTTAGTTCCAACCCATAGTAACCCTGTGCAGGGTTTCCAAGGCTGTAAATTTTACGGTAGCAGAAAGCCTCACCTTTCTCCCATGGAACAGCTGGTAGCTTCAAACCGCTAACCCTGAGGTTAGCAGTCCGATTCGTAACCGCTATGCTGCCAGAGCTCCTTACTCATGGAAGCTGTAGTTCTAAATACCAACAGAGAGGGAAGGAGTCTACACATCAAGTATCAGTGCTATCCCCTTTGTACACAGGGTAGATAGGGAAGGGCAATTTAGACAATGACTATCTAAAATGAGGGGGCAATAAAGGCACAAAGTGACTGGCTTACAAGGTTTCAAGAGCGAGTTTAGTTTAAGAGTGTCGGTGGAAAGATAGAGTTCTCACTGAATAGTTTTCACCGTGTCTACAAGGCTCTGGTGAAAAACAGATGGAATAAGATTCTTATGATTCAATAGTGAGTGATTGTTATCATGACTAATTGCGACCGTCACAATTATAAAGGTAGAAGTTTAGTAACAAAAACTGGGGAGTAGTTAATCTTACATTCCAGAAACAGATGACCCTAGGACCATCAAGGGAGAAGAGTGCAAGTGGAATGCGAGACCTTATCCAGAGAAGTGACACCAGAGATGGAGGCAGACAGGAAGCAACTGAGGACTTAGATTCATGGAAATAGAGGGATTGAGAGCTGGCGGCCAGGAGACAGCCTTGAAGAATGTGCCCTTAAGTGGTATCAATTATTATATATGCCTGAGTGTTTTAAAAATTAAAAAAAAGGAGCTAGAATGAGAGAAATACTGTTAACTGATGGTACATGAAGGGGATTATAATCATTGTAATGAAACAAAGTATATGATTTGTTGAATATAAAACTGAAGTTCTGCCCTGTAAACTTTCACTCAATTCACAGTAAAAAATTAAAAAAAAAAGAATGTGGAAAAATTGGAACTGAGAAACAGACTTTAATTTTCCTGGAATCATGATTTCTGTGGACCAAGTAGCTGGGAGGACTCACCCAACTGATGCTCTTTTGCCTGGGTGTGCCCTTTAGTGGAAACTGGGGTACCAGGATTACATTGATATGAGTCGTCATGTCCCAAAGACAAATCATATATATATATATTTTTAATCTGCAATAGTCTTGAAGAAACTGGTTCTTAAAAGTCATCATTGAATCAACAATGATCTAGATCAGGGATGGGGAATGTTCAGCTCACAAGATCATTTGGTATGGCCCTGCCAAGGCAACCACAGTTCTAGCCACCACATTGCTGTTGTTAAGTGTCATCAAGTCAATTACAACTCATAGCGACACTAGATAGGGTTTCCAAGGAGCTGCAGGTGGGTTTGAACTGCTGACCCTGTTGTTCATAGTTCAGTCACATTTGTGGTGAGTTAATTAAATATTTGACCAAATACAACAGACTAATTTTTAAGTTGATAATTATACTTTGTATGCCCTCAAAAGTTATAAATATGCAAATGATCTTGGCCCCACCCCTGGTCTACATAAATGAGTACAGCCTGTGTTGCCTTAGGCTTTTGTGCTCTTTTGAAGAATAATCTTTGTGCAGCAAGTTTTGGGGAAAAGAAAACTCCAAGGTCAGAGCAGAGCAATTCTTTTCATTGTTCTTCAAGACAATGTTGTATGGAGACTTCTGGCAAGATGGTGGACAAAAGCAGCACACTACATGGACTCTCTACAACAAAGATAAGAGAGACCAAATGAAACAGAGAAACAGACACAGATAAAATTTCAAGAACTCTGAACTTCAGAGGAAAGGTTAGAGAAATGGATTGAATGCTTGCTGGGAGGAGAAGCTGAACAGGGATAGCAAGAGAGAGTGACTGACTGGTCAGCTAGACTCAGCATGACCATCTTATGAGCAGTTTTGGCAACAGAAGATGGCCTGGCAGAACAGGTTTACACAAGCAATAGGAATGTTGCAATTCCCATGCTCCTCTGATGACCAGAGGTGTGGCCAACTCCCACCCGCATCTGTCCCCAGCACAGACCCTGCTCTCCAGGAGCTCAGAGTCATGTGGTTGGGAGTCATACCATTGTGAGTCTGGGTCCTGCAGCACTGTTCCGGTGCCTGGATTCAGGAGGGCTGGGCTCTAGACCTACAAAACCTGCAGAGCCACCAGACCAGCATTTAACCAGTCACCCTGCTCCCAACTTCCTTTTGGCCCTAACAGACAGTGAAACCAACTCAAAGCGCCTCCAAGAAATATTTCTGGACTGACTGTTCTGAACGTAGATAACATCGAGGTTGATAGGAACTCCATCTAGGGTAGGCGTGGGAAGCCTTTCTTCTGCCAAAATTTGTAAAAATCATTGGTGGGCCATACAAAATTATCAACTTAAAATTAGCTTGCTATATCTACTCAAACATTTAATTAACTCACCCCTAATGTGATGGTCGCTATGGGTCGGAACCAACTTGACAGTACTCCACAACAACAAGACAAATGTGATGGGAGTCTTGGTGTGGCACTTTGGGTTAATGTGCCAGACTGCAAAGCCGTTTGAACTGCAAGGTCAGCAGTTCAAGCTCACCAGTTGCTCCTCGGAAACCCTATACTGGGTTGCTATGGGTTGGATCTGACTCAATGGCACTTAACAACAACAACAAATGTGATGGGAGTCCTAGTGTGGCACTGTGGGTTAATGCACTAGACTGCAAAGTCAGTCTGAACTGCAAGGTTGGTGGTTCAAGCTCACCAGCTGCCCCTTGTAAACCCTATACAGGGTCGCTATGGGTCAGGACTGACTCAACAGCACTTCACAACAATGAGATGGCTGTTCTTCAAGAGTTCCATGGCTG